TTCGAGTATAGCTTGATTGATTTGATTTGATTCATAGATGTTTCTTCCATTCTCGCTGATCTGATATTGTCAACATCTATAGCATTAGTTCCTCAGATCTAAACAATTTAAATATATAATCCAATCACTGATCATTGATTATTATGCTTATTTTTTCTTTGTTTTCAACCCATACCGTCATTCTTAGGACTAAAATTTAGGATTTAACCTTAGATTGACTATTTTCCATAATTAAAACCCATATTAGTGTTGCTAGCATGTTCCAATCCTCTGTACAACCGATGATAAGAATGAAAATGAAGAGTTGATGAGAAATGGAAGAGCCATTCTGAGATAATCGAGTATTGTATAATGGTCTAAATAGAAATGCGATATTCTCGGCAACTCTTTAAATAATGAACGATTAAATAGATAATATCAAGTATATAAAATAAATTGTACTGAATAGTCTCATAATATAGTCATTATGAACAAGTATTCAAAAAATAAAATGACTGCAAATGTTATTCGTTGTTTCTATTCGATTTATGTGTAATGAATGACATTATCTTTCTGCAATCGCTCCAATAGTACTGCAAACAATAGTAATCTTTAGGAGTTAAAGATAAAAAAATAGTTCTAGTGTACTGTATTACTAGTATGATCAAAGTGATTGACAATTAGAAAAATAGTAAAATGGAATGACTGTAATAAAACTCGTTATGGATTATTGTGGTTGGATGGATGAGATATTACAGATATTCAAATCAACGTACTATTTTGAATTAGATTCAAAGGGTGTAAAATTGAATCTTCAGCAATAAAGGGTGAATATGGAATGTGTCCTCATATTCACCACACTATGTTGTTAAAATGTGTGTATAATTCAAGTTAACGATAAAATAACAAGTTTGTCCTAAAGAATCACAACGATCTCTGTATTCTAGAACATGTAGTGAAGTATTTCTCGAAAGAATCCACTCTCTTATCACATAATGATATGTTATTGCCTATTCTAGAATCGAATGAGCGATATCTTGTAAGTACAACTTCAGTAAGGTATTCAAGAAGATAGATAGATAGATAGATAGATATCATTGTCTATCTTCTATACATATATACATATATATATCTGAAAAGTAATAGTTTGATTGTTGTCTCCAACAAATAATCAGCCAGATATGTCTCACAGCTTGATATTGGACAACTACTCATTCCCATAGAGTCCATTCTTATGGATTTCAGCTTTATCATCAACAATACTGATATCACTATTAGTGAGTAATTCTATTCATCCTAATGAGTTGGGAACCAAAGCATTTCACTTTCATCAACCAACTCAAACAGCAAGTATTATGTATACTATTGTTATTCATGCTCGTAATAGAACAACATTGTGAATCACTTTGTATCCCTATTGAAGTGGTGTACAATTCGATCCTTCCTTTAAATAGGAGATATTCTGCATTATTTGGCAGGTGGGGGATACTATAAGGGATAGTATCCTCTGGCAATATAACAAACTCTGATAGGTTCAGAATGCATCAAAACGACAAAAACTGCACACCAACTATCCAAAAACCTAGAAACAGTGGAATATGAATATATCTCTATTTGTTCGTATAAAATATATTATGTATTCTACCTTATTTTGCTCAGTTCTTCAACGACACACCCACCTTTCTCACAAACTCTACTATTCGATTCTACTATACACATATCACATATTATTACTATAAATGATAACCCAAAAACTGCTTATCGCTAGCTTTTCCATTTTCATTCCTATCATCATATTCTACATACCCTATTTCTTTCTATCCCATCTAGATAAAATTCCAAATGAATAGAACGAAAAACAAAACGCTTCCACTGGAAACAACACTCTTCGATCTATTCATTCCACAATATCCCATTTCCACTCATCTCCTTCCACTTCACAGTAAAAACAACTCCCTCCCTATTCGAAATCTATTCTTCCACTCATACCCAATTTCAACACTATTTTCACAATTGCACAATTCCTGTGTATTTTTGAAATCATTTGTTTTACAATAAAAGCTATTAGCTTCGTCTTACTGGGTTTGAATGTATTCAAAATTTGGAATTGGACTTGTATGTCCTGTCTTTTGTTTTGTTTTCGGACTTCTATGTGTTTTTGTGTGTTGTGTTGTGGGAGTGTAAGTATTGTAGCTGGGATGGGTTCTGTCGTCAAGTTGGTGTGTTTGAAGAAGCTAGTGTAGTGTGCGCTATCGTTACTTTGACTAAACTGTGTGTGTGTGAAATATGCATCGTGAACGCATTCAATACCATAATGGCAGTGGACCCTGGTTCCATTTTTGCTGTGTGGAATGTGTTCCGAGTGAGGAATTTCTGTACTTCAAACTGTGCAACGTGGCGAACCCATTTATGCCATGTGCGACCGCGGATACATGGAGATAACTTGCAACGTGGGAGGTATCTGGTACAGGCACGACGTTCTTGCCTAGGATATCTGTTCTGTTTCTCGTATTTTCATTTTCATATTGTGAGGTGGTAGAGTGTGGTAGAGAGAACGGATTTGCGATGAGTGGAAGGGCAAACTATGGGAGCAAGAGCTGTAGGTTTGTAGAAGCGGAGCGTGTGTGGAACTTGGGAGAATGGGACAAGAAGGCGGAGTATGCGAACTGCTGTGGACACGGTCCTCGCCTCTGATTGATGGGAGCCGAGTGAACTGGAATGGCCAGTGGGAGCAGGCGAGTTCCAAGACGGTGCAGTTCTGCATTTGTGGGTCTGTGGAGCATGGGAAGGTGGAGGTGTGCGTGGTGCGGGCGTGTGGGAAGTGGTGGAATGGAAGAGAGGTGAGGTGCGTGGCGGTGGTGTTCCCCGCGGTTCTGTATGCGGTGTGTGTGGAATCAGGCGGAGGGCATTGAGTGGGACTGTGCGATGGCGATTACCGGATCCTTCCATGATCTCTGCACCGCCACGTGCGAGCTTCGCGCTCCCGCCACTTCCTCCTTCCTCTTTCCGCCGAACCGTCTGGTTCCCCGCGGGACGCGATGTGTGGGACGTGTTGGAGGGTGGGATCCCCGCGACTTCCTACACGCTGGAGTGCGTCCCGAGCGAAGTGGGCAGTGCCGAGTGGATGGGCAGGCAATTCGGAGTGTCCACGATGGCCACGTCGGAATTCGTTGGGTGTTGGTGGTGGACGGCGAGCCAACCTCCTCGCTCACCGGTTCGCTCTGGGTGTGGGTGTGGGTGTGGGTGTGAGTGAGCAGGAATCTGGTGGGCGATGGGGTGGGGTCCGTGGCTCCCTACGAAGGTGTGTAGAGTCGACCGGGCTCTCTGGATCTCTTCCTGTCCAACTGGGCGCAGAACGCCACCGTGGTCTCCGTCACCCAGCCCCTCCGCCTCCGCCTCCGCCTCCGCCTCCTCTTCCTCTTCGCCTACGACGTGACCGGCGCGCTCATCCGCGCCCACCTCGTCGATCACGCCTGGTGCGCCGTGGGTCGCGATGTTTCCACGTTTCCACGATCCAGACCGATTTGGCAGTTGCTGAGAGAAAGAGAAAGAGAGAAATGGTTGCGGTGTTTGGTTTGGAAGATGGATGGATGGATGGATGGATGGATGGAATTGTAGAGATGTGGAATGGTTGAAGCGTTGTAGGATTTGAATGAGAATGGAAAATGTGTTTAGGAAGGAAAGAAAGAAAATGTAGATTTAGAGTGTGTAGGGTGTTGGAATGATTTAGAAACATGAACAGAATAATCCAGAACGAGGAACCAAACGACTCTAGTTGATAGGAATAATAATAGAGTGCTGTGAGTTGATAGTTGAAACAAAGATAGAAAGAAAGAAAGTGTATTTAGAGTTAGTTGGTTGGTTTAGGATAAGGAAATGATAGAAAATGGAGTGAATGGTTAACGATGTGCGAAGATAGGTTCTTTGTGTGAAAATCACTGGATCAAAACCAATTTCCATTCCATTTGATTTGATTCGATTTACTAGTTTGAATTGCTTTCAAACCCAACCATTCCCAAGTCAAAATGATTTGGCTAGAATCATGGATGGATAGATTGGATTATCGAAATAATGATAATAATAATAATAATGATAATATAGACTATTTAGACAAAGTGGAGTGAGCAACCAAATCCTTGTTTCATAACACGATTTCACTATGATATCATAAATATACAACCTATACAGACATAGTAGACAACAAAATGGATTTTTCCATTCTGAGTGTTTCCAAACAATCCTGATATTATTATTATTATAAATATCTATACCTCCGAACTATTTCAACCACAAAAATGTGAACAAAATGATGCGAAACACAAGTGAGTACTTCACTTGGAAATCTTGGATCCAATGTGTATATGGTAGCACTCTATCATAATTTTTAAATATGAAGAATACTTAGGTGTAAAGAAACAAACTGATCTCCCTGTTTTCTTCATAAATTCTTTATATTTGGTTACAAATTACGGATTCAAAGAGTAGAGGCTAAGGATATGTGATTCCAAATAGGTAGAATGCAAGAACTTAAGGGAAGCGAATTTCTCCTGAACGGTTACATAACGCTTGGTAAAGCAAAGGAAATCACTATTGGCGGCTGCAAGTATAGCTTCCAATGTTATCAAGGCGATCACGAGGATGAATACACGTTGACGAGAGCTGGGAAGGTTTGCCTATTCCAAAATGGCATACTGAAGATGTGCTTTGAGGTGGATGCGAACGGGAGCGAAATCGGTGACTTCACGCGATTTGAAAATGGATGTGTCGCTTTTGTCCAATCTTTTGACGAAATTCTGGATCAGCACTATTTTCATCGTATAATAAACCATGTCCGAGGCGAGCGTATGGAAATCTATTCGCATGCGAGTGATCACCTGATTTATCATGGTGAATTCAATGAGAAGCGAGAGAGAGAAGGATGGGGCATCCAATATGACGATAAAACGGGTGCCATGCTGCTTGAGGGGATATGGAAGGGTAACAAGCTGGTGGAGATCATCCGCAAAATCGAAGGAACCATTATGATTGAGTTCAAGCGAAGCGGGAATAACACCATCGCTTCGAATCGAATTCCCCTCTATGTGGGTGAATTCGTGTATGATGAATCGAAAGAATCGTTTCTTCGAAATGGTTGAGGATACTGGATCGATGAAGAAACTCGGATTGCTACTCGCGAAGTGGAATGGAAAGATGGAGTGGAAGTGAGTGGAAGAGATCTCTATGATGGATGGCATATTCATTCATTCATTCATTCACTCAATATTACTTGTTTATTTAATACTATTGCTATGTTAATTACATTGCATTTCACATTGTTTGTTGATCAAATAGAAAGCAAGGTTTTCATTCATAGGATTCATGGATTCTATCCATTATCATATTATTCAATCGATTGTTTTGTTTAATGATACTATGATTCCTATTCACCATTTCAATCTATGAACCACATTCCTTTCTCTGCAATATCATTCTTTGTACTCAATATGGATGATCATTGTGACAGAAGAGAATCGAAGTATCAACAGAGAATCAATACAATATACCACTTGTCAAATAGAAATGATGGATTTTGCATTCTACATACTACTGCCATCCTCTCTATTACGAATCTAACCATTCCAACAGTATTCACTATTGTGAGTTCGATTGTTGCAAAACAAGATTAACAACCACATAATTGATATATTTTGAAGAGCATATATCCATTATAGACTTAATAGAACAGCCATTCTGACAGGAGAGAGTAAAGGTGATCAAAATGTGTAATAATTTACAATTATAGCTATAAGTATCTGAAAATAACACAAGAATAAATGAATAGATGGAAATGCACCGAAATAAAGAAAAATAGAAATGGGTGGAGAAAATGAGATTTTATCCTATGTATTCTAGTTTATAACACACCAGCATATCAAAGACATACACAATAATCCATGACGTGTGTTCTATCGAGAAATAATGAAACAGATCTTGTTTCCAAAATAACCGTTTTACCATATTTCTTTTTATTTCCATGCAAAACATTGCTGATTTTGTCAATTCTGCTATTAATAACTGTTATGTTCGTAGATTTATTATTCAAAATATGCAGGGATGTTTGGGTAAAATGAAACCAAATGGCTGGATTTCACTCATTTTGAGTAATAGAGAATGTATAGTATTGCAATTTGATAATAGAGTATTCATAAATCAAGGATTTATGGTCAATGAACAGAAAGTGTTGAAAGTGTTCGAAAATCATCAAATTGGTGCTATTTCATATAATGAAGAACAATCCATAGAAGTAGAGGGGATAGTGGATTTGGATCATGGGAGTCGATTTGAAGGATTGATATTGACAGAAAACAAGTTT